CAAAGTAGTCACCAAATTGCATATATTGCGGAGCGGAGGATGATACCGCAGAACAAACATTCTTTGAGTGCAATAAGTGGTTGCCCGAACGAGAAGTACTAGCAGCGCAAGAAGGTAGAAGATAGAAGGTACCAACTTGCGCTGCTAGTACTTCTCGTTCGGGTAACCACTTATTGCACTCAAAGAATGTGTGTTCTGCGGTATCATTCTCCGCTCCGCAAAATATGCAATTTGGTGACTACTTTGCGCATGCGGTACAGGTAGCTGTTGAAGTATCCATGTCCCGACAGGAACTGAGTGAGGTAGTAGTTAACCTCCCCAAAGTCTCTTGCTAGCCAGCTTTTTAGATCTGGGATAAGCCTTGCGGTCCATCGTCCACGGTTATCTGAGTCCCAGCGTTGCCGCCATACTGCAATGAATCTGTGCCTACCAACTGCTTGTCGGTGTTGTTGTTTCCCATTCGTTTTGCCTGTCAACATGTTTTTCGCTCTTGAGCCTGCAGGTCAATAGGAATATTTCCACTAATCACGAGTACCGCTGCTTCTGAAACGGTACGGTACGCTGAAGATATCCTCAGAGCTGCTGTTCGCTGCACTGACGCTAACGCTCTTCTTCGGTATTTTGCCTGTAGTGCGTCTGCCTATATTTCGTTTCCGTATAATAGAATGGAGTTTACCGTAGCCATCAGGCGCTGTCTTTTACTCTGTGTGGGTCCTCTTATGCTTGCCATAAGTCTGCTTAGTGCTGCTGTAGCTTTTACTGCTTTAGATGCCGCTTTCTCAATCTGAGCCCAGAATGTTAGTCTGGAGTCCAGTCGAAGGCCTAAATATTTGACTGTTTTCTGCGTCATTATAGTTTTGTCGCATACTCGCATCTCGACTCCTAGCTGTATATGCTTTTTTGTGAAAAAGATCAGCTCTGTTTTCTTCGCGGCGAGTTTGAGTCCGTGGTCCTCCAATCATTCTTCGTATCATTACCTGGTAGCTTTCGTTGCGCTTCTTCTGTATTTCTTGCCTTTATCACTGCTAAATCATCTGCAAATGCCACCAGATGTGTATCATCCCGCATTTCCAGCTCTAAGATATCATCGTAATAATTATTCCACAGCTAAGGTCCGAGGACTGATCCTTGCGCTGCTCCTGATGTGATTTGTTTTTCCTTTTGGTCTTTCGTGAGTGTCGTAGACTAGCACGCGGTTTTTCAAATAGCTAGCTATTATATCCATCAGGTAGCGTGGTACACTAAACTTGCTTTCCAGTGTATCGAGAATATCAGCCCATCTTACACTATTGAACGCGTATCGTACGTCAAGTGTTGCAAGCAAGACAATGTTTCTTGAGTAGTGGTTACCAGTCTGTGCAGTCTTTACTGCTTCAACTATATCCTCTATTGCACCTAGCGTGCAGCGTCCTGTTCTAAAACCGTGCTGTCTCGGTGACAAGCCACCTGCTGATTCGAAAGCTTTTGTAAGTCGGGGCTTGATCAGTCTTTCAAGGAGTTTTCCAGCGGTGTCGAGCATGCAGAGTGGTGGGTATGCTTCAGCACGTGCTGGGTCGCCCTTACCCTTACTAATTAATGTTAGTTTCTGTTTCTTCCAAATTTTAGGAAAGTTGCCTTCCATTAAACAAGCACTGTACATTTCTAGTACACATGTGGTCGTTCATTACCAATCACTTTTAGTATCTCGGCTGGTATTCCATCTGGCCCCGGAGCTTTATTATTTTTTAGCGCGCTAGCACCTGCGGAGAGCTCTTGTAGTGTAAATAGAGCCGGCATTTCTCTCAGGGAATCATCTGCTTTGCTTGGGAGCACCTCATGTGTCGGGAATAATGTGTCAACTATTTCCTTCATTTTTGCGCTTTCTAGTGACGGGATGGGTTGTCTGGCACCCAGCTTTTTAGTTACAATCTTGTATCCGGTGACCCATGGATTGTTGTTCTTCCCACTTCGCCTTTTTGCTTTGGTTTATGGCTGCTTTCAAATTTTTGTTAGCTGTTTTAAACTTCAGCTCCTCTATTTCAGCAGTACTTCTTCTACGGGCTCTGGTCAGCTTTCGCCTGCACCTCAAACAGATGGTCCGCATTTCCGCGATTTGCTCGGTCCACCAGTATGCGGCTTTCTTTCGGGTTGATCTTCCCACTTTTGGCAAGGAAACATTATAAGCTTGTAGAATGCTATTCATGGTGTATTCTGTGAGTGTGGTCGAGTTTAGTATGGGATCCCTTTCTGCAACTCTGCTGTCTATAGCAGCAAGTAGAGTTGGTACATCTAAATGGTCTACCCTCCATTTCCGCATCCTGCTAGGTTGATAATCTGTTGCAGCACTGTCCCGCAGTGTAATCTTGAATTCAACATACTGGCGATCGCAGCCGGTATAATCTTCCAGCACTTTCCAGTCTTTGAGTGCCCCTGAAAACGTATCCGACACAAGTGTTATATCTGGAGTTGTGGCTTCACATCCGGGTCTTCTGAATGTTGTAGCGAAACTTGAGTTTGCTACTGCAAGCTCCAATCTAGACACCATGTCAAGTACGCGTCAATCGCGTGAGTTTGTCGTCGTGGAATCCCATTCGATTGCTTTAGAGTTGAAGTCCCCTGCAATAAATAGGGAGACTCCGATTTCTCTAGCCTTCTCTTCTATATTATGGAGTTTGTTTTCAAATTCACTAATAGTGTCATTGGGTGTTAGATAGCAGCTTATAACAGTGTAGTCATTTGTCCTTACCCATACAAAACCTTCCCCGCTTCCATTACTTACAACATTAAGTGTTCCTTTTGATGCCGTCCAGATAGCTTCGGTTCCAGTGTGGTCCTCATACCATCTTCTGTTACAAATTTTCTTGTATTGCTCGCTTATGATGACGACGTCGATTTTTCGTTCTAGAACTAACTGAGAGAGCAGAGTGTCAGCCATCTTGCTCCTATGCATATTTGTTTGGAGTATTCTCATTTCGTTTTGCTAGCTTAGCAGTTATGGGAAACCGGTATGTGGTCCACCTTGGTGCATCCTTTACTTGCGCAAATCTAGCATTTTGGCGGCCTTGTGCACTCTTTCAGCTTGTGCCCGCTTTCTCTGCATCGAATGCATAGGCCTTGGCCGTTTCTGTTAGGTCCTTTGCAATTGTATTGAAGATGTCCTGTTTCGAAGCATCTGTAACAGCGTTTTACATCTTGTAAGAGTTTTATTCTGCATCTTACTAAGCCCACACGAATACGTTCCGCCTTTTGAAGTGTTTTAGCTGCCTGGCTTGATATGCAGATATAGGCTCTCCGTTGTTCCCTGGTATTTGCACCAGAAATTTTTACATCTATTTGCTCCGTGGGTTCTTGGAGTACAATTCTTATTGCAACTGTTACCTCATCATCTGTTGTAAGACTATCAAAGTAGCGGATTTCTATTTTTGCACGGGGCTTCAGTTCAGTTACCATTGCTGCCTCTCCCATTGTTCGTTTTAATTCCGCGTAAATTTCGTTTTTTTTTCACTTTTTCCTAGTTCTAAAAGTACGACCCCACTCCTAGTTTTGAGTATGGACTGGATGGCCACCTCTTCATCATCTGGCTTTATCTTCGTTCGAAGGTCCTTAAGGATATCTGCGTATGTGTGTCCTTCATTTGGTTTGATGAGGGCTTCTCTTTTCGTTTTACCGTTTTCTTTGGGGGTGCTTCAGGCTTTTTTGCCGCTTTTTGTTTTTTGCCTGTTACCATTACACATTTTTCTTCGTTTTTTTCTACGGTGCCTTCGGTGGGGGCTGCGGCTGGTGTGTCTACCGCATTGGTTTCCTTTCGTGCTTTTTTATTTACTTCGGCCTTAAGCCAACATCGGTGGAAATAAGCCATCATATCGAACTGCGTCTCCAGTTCATGTACCCCCTCTTTAATGTCTGTCGAGATATTTCTTTGTCGATTTACGGCTTGCTTTATTTTGTTAAAGGCGACTACGCATTTTTCGAAGGTCTTCGCCGAAGTGGTTGCCCGAACGAGAAGTACTAGCAGCGCAAGTTGGTACCTTCTATCCCAGGATATATATATATATCTATATACATTGAGATAGCGCACCGTCCAAAAAGTGGCCCCACTGTAGTGGGGCTGTAGGATTAGCCGAAGTAGACCACGCAAGTCCTTCGATTTTCGGATGTCATTATTGAGTTAAACTTGTAGTCACTACCGTCCAACAGCGCACCGTCCAAAAAGTGGCCCCACTGTAGTGGGGCTGTAGGATTAGCCGAAGTAGGCCACGTAAGTCCTTCGATTCTCGGATGTCGTTATTGAGTTAAACTTGGAGTGGTTTCCGTTCGCATAACTACATCGCTTGTTAATGCTAGTAGCTCACGTAGTTCCCGACTACCATTTTTTGTAAAAATAGATAATCTTATATAGTAAGAAGTACAATATAATATATAAAAGGGATCGTGATTTTTAAATATAAAAGTACAATAATAATATATATTATTCTAAAAAATAAATAATATAAAATTAAAAATAAAAAAATATTATTAGATCATATACAATGTGTATGTGATAAATGTTTGCTTCATACAATACCATATATATATAAGGTGGTATATATTTAGGTATATACATTTAATTTTATATACATAAAAATATAATTTCTTGAAAATTTAGCACAAAAATAGTTGCAAAAAATGAATTTTGTAAAAAGTAGAATTGCGCCAAAATTGTTTGAAATGCGAGTAGCTTGAGTTTGAGTTTGAGTTGAGATAGAGTTGAGACACCAAAACAGCTGTTGAAACACATACAACCCCAACTAGAAATTGACTAAGTACAAGCGGAAATCATAAAAAATTAAAATAAAAATTAAAATAAAATAAAATCTAAATAAGATACTTGAATTTTGACCGACCAAAAACGAAAATCATTTGAAAGTTTGTGCTTTTAACAAATACAGATTTAATTAAAGTTTTAAATAAATAATTTCTTTTTCTCAAAATTAATTAAAAGTGCGACTTGCAGTTGAATAATTTCATTTATAACAACTTACCTTATCGGCTTCTTGAGCCAATGGATTCGGTGTGATATTCATACGCGGCATAACACCATTCAAGCGGTGACCAGATTTGTGATGTGTATTAACTCCCAAAACGCCGGGTACCACAAAATCTGCTTGCAGATGATCCAACTGAGGTTTGTCTTCATCTAAGAAAAGGTAGATATTTTTAATATGGAGATGGCGATATGATATCATATAATATATATATAATTAAAAATGTAGTTTCATTTAATATAATACAAATTAATATATAATGTGTAATATTGTAATGTAGTAATATAATTTAATAAATATGTATAAGGTATACAATAGTGGCATTAGTGGATGAGGGTAATACTGTCGTAGACTCGTGGATGTGTTGCAATTTATAAATTTGGGGATAAAATTCATATGATACCCATAAAATGTATAAGTGGAAGAGTTATGCAACGCTCCGACTTGCAAATGTGTTGGATTTGAAAGACTATGAAAAAACGGGGATTATGAGAACTTCTATTACAGGTAAATATTTTTTTAATTTTTGCCAATACTTCTATATGACAAAATTTATTTCCAACAAAAGAAAGAGTTCCTAAAACAGTGGACATAACGACTTTGTGGACTTTTATGCAGGTAATTATTTTTTATATATTTTTTTGTTAACCAAATTTACTTCTAAGACATAAGATATAAGACATTCATTTCTTACTCACCCATGAATTACTAATTAAATATTTAAATTTAATGAAAATGATTAATACTTTATGACGTTATCTAATTCTCACATCAAATCATTTGTTTTTTTAAGACTCTATTTCTTCTATTTAAGTAAATCTCAGAGATATAGTTTTGTGATCCCATCTAATTGTTCAGTATAAGAAGAACGTGTATCGACTAACCTTCGTCATAGAATTTATTTTATGTAGGTTCGTGGTCATAAAAATATGTAAAGAAATACGTGGGTAAATCGATAGGATAGGATGGAACTTTGTTTAGAATTGAAACTAAGATGCGTATGCGAAAAGTTTAATTGGACACATAAAGTATACTTTTTGAAATGGTAAATTTCAGAAGGAAGAACTATCCTGAGATATTTTGGCATCTACAACAACCATATAATTACTCGTTGGTGTCAAAAACTATCAACATCAAAATATATATTACCTGACAACTAGGTGGACTTAAATATAAATTGAATATTTTTTTTAAAAATATACTATAACAATTCCAACAATACTGTGATGACAGTAATACTAGTTCATTAATTTTGCGAATATTCCACCTTGGCAAGAATTAGAATTTGCACTCTAAACCACACCATCTTTGGCTGGCTTTGAAGAATTCTATATAATTCCATTATCGAATAACCCTAATAAATCGAGACGGATTGTATAATTTCATATGACATTCCTTGTTTTCATAACCAATTGAAGTGTCGAACTGAAAGGTCTATAGGTCTAAAATAGTGAGGGCATCAGAACAGATGGACAACGTCATGGGAAATAAGGTCGCAGCCATAGCACACACTGAGAAGTGACATATTTATGAGTTATATATTTTTCTTACCTTCCGTTTGTGCATTTATCCGCCGTTTCATACATAAACACACTGCTATAGTTGCAAGCAGTAATAAGATACCGCCACCAGCAGCACCAGCGATAACTGGATAAATAGAATTATCTTCTTCATTTGCCTTAGTTGTTGTCACAACAGGCGGCTCTGTGGGCATAGTTTTAACTTGTTCTAAAAGAAACATACATTATTAGAATGAAGTATCACAAATCTAATCACTGCAACTTACTTTTCGTTTTACCCTGTATAATCGTGCTAAAGTCTGATGCTGCTAAAGCATTGAATGACTGTAATTTGAATTCATACATAGTATCTGGATCCAGTGTGTCTATTTTAAATTTCCGCGTATGCATACCATCAACCGTGGCTTTCATATAATCGCCAGCAGACGAGGTGTGCCTGTAGTAAGCATAAAATCCATCAACCATATTCTCAGGACTTTCTTGTAGTGTCCAATGTAGCACAACAGCTGTATCTGAGATTGGTTCTATAGGTGCCAATTCTGGTGTGGGTAGCTTAGATTTAGTTGGACCAAGCGTATCGGCACGTTGTAAAAAGAATTTCGCAGATATATTTCCCTCTTTATTGTCATTGTTTGAGTAAACAGCAATAATACGAAAACGATAAAATCGATCTGGTTTAAGACCGGTCACAGACGATGTGAAATTAGTCACACCATCATTGTTACGATCTCTTTTACCAAATTTTATATCCTCATAGGTGGTCTGCCAAGTTTCACGCGGTATTGTACGATTTATGCCACCCAACATCCTATATTGAACCTTGAAGAATGTTATAGCTAATCCATCATTCTTTGGCACATGCCAGCGTAACATAACGGAATCATCAGAGAGGCGCGTAACATTGGGACGTGATGGAGGTACAATTTTAACTGTAACAAAAAAAAAGTTATTAATTTTAATATTATTAAATGTAAAATGAAATTAATTAAATATATTATATTAAAAATCAAGTTTTATATTAAATATCTATTTTTAAAATCTGTGAAGCCAATTTAATTTGTTTTATTCATACATACGTCTGTGATAGCAGACATTAGAGTTAGTAATATTTTTTTTTTTTCAATAATAGTATTTTCATAATAACCCCACCTAATATCAAAGTCAAATACCTTAAAATTTAGAATACCGAAAGGTCACGTTATTTTTACTCTCTTTCTAGTTATGACCATAAAGGTATGTTATATAGACAGTCAAATCTCAATTATCAAAATCATGTCCAACGTATTTTCTTTGTATATATCTTAATAACCCGTTTCCAAGTTTCCAAGAAGGTCAATTCTTGACATTCTCCAATTAAACTGCTCTGATGGCCTCATTAATTATTTACACTAACTCCATAAGCAACTTAATATTTTGCGAAAACACAAAATATAAATATACATATGTATATGTTGAGTCTTTTTCGTGTTAGTGCATTTGCGCATTTTCACTGTTTGATAGCTGAGGGGTTTCTACAGAGCCCCATCCTTCTCACTGACTAATTTATGTATTCCTCAAAAGCTTCGTGATTATTCGATGACTGATCTAAGATCTGCGTAACGCCCCGTGTGGCCAGAGATTATCCTGAGATTATATAGTGCTAAGTAGGTTAGCGTGTCGGTTTTCGCGAATAGCTTAAGGGCTCTCTCCCTTATGTATTTTTTGTTGATTTTTATATATAAACTTTTTTCTCAAACAAATATTATTTATTTACTTTAAAACTATCTCTAGTATTGTAACGTGACAGGCAAAAATAATGTAATTAATTTTATTTAAATAAATAAATAAATATTTTTAATATTCCAAATATATACATTTTTTGGATGTACATATACTTTGTTTTTATAATTCTTATTAAGTTTAATTAAAAGCGGTTATAAATAGGTTCCACAAGTATTAGCAATAAATTCTTGTGTATTAACTTTAATATTTATCAGAGTGTATTGTGTAGTATTGGAAACCATATTTTCCATATTTTGTTTTAGTATCACATAAATATTGTGATTCAATTATAGCAAGAGCGTTAAGTTTCATACTAGTTGTACATTTTGACTTATTTTGGCTTCAATTAAGTAGAGAAATATGATTTAAAGTACTAATAATTGAATAAATAAATAAATCAGCCTAGAATTAGATTTGTACAGATAAACAAATTAATATTGGTGTACATTATTTATAATAATTCTCATTGAGTTTAGTTTATAGTTAGCAATATGTATAAACAGATAGTCAAGACGTTATGTTCGTCCGTTAGAGAAATATTGATAATAGCCTTTTTTGCATTTAATTTAAGTATCCATTGTTTTTCTTATTTGGTATTTAACAATGGTTCCCGAATAACTATTCTAATTGAATCTAATATGGAAACAGTTGTAATAAATCAATTGATAAATAGTAAATAATAAAAATGATATGAAATTAAATGTAATTGGTACTATTTCTTTAACATATTCAAAAGCATTTTTAATTAAAATCAATAAAAATTATTATAATAAAATTCAAGAAATATATCATTAATGTTGTTGTGATATGCATATGGCTAACTGTTAACTAAAGTTAATGAGAATTATAATTAAATAATACACAATAAACGAGCAATAAAATTTTAAATTAATTTGTACATAAAGTTCTCTACAAATTAAAGTTATATGTCAAAAATTTCAACTTAATAACGTGAAATTTAAAATTATTTTGTAATTTAATTACAATATTTATGTCATCCCAATATGGTGAATGTGTAGAATACTGCTTTATAGGTACTAACAAATATGATAGATATTAAAGTAAATACAGAAAATGTTAGCTGTTGTAATGTATTTATTGACAGAGTAAATTAAACTCAATGAGAATTATAATAAAAAAATTCTAAAAAATCCTTCCGAGTACATTACACTTCATATTATATATCATATATCTGTTGTGATTACAATAACCAAATAGCTTTTATTAATAAAAAACAGTATTTATTGTAACACAAACTTTTATTATTTTTAATACAACTTTAGAAACACTAACTAATTGACTGACTGATCAACTGACTGAAAAAATCTGAATAAATATTTTAAATAAAATATTTTTAAATATCAGAGAATCTGACAATTTTAGCCTACTTTGTTGATTCTCACCACACAGCCCCTTCTAGAATTTGACGACTGCATCACGACAAATTCTATCCGTATTACACATTATTACTACCTCATAAGCCTCAATGGAAAACGCACTATTCTACCCACTCGAGTCACCTTCGGTGCTATCTGCTTGTTACTGTCATCATCTAACACCTTGACACTATCTTGGCAACAACCTTCACCAGCTTCATTTGCAAAATATGCTGGTTTCACTCGATCCATGCTGACGTTCATCGTGCGTCCTCTTGCCCTTATTGTTAGAGTTTTCTCACCACGACATAAAATTTCATATGGGCCCTCATACGGCTGTTTCAGTGGTGGTCGCACAGCGTCATCACGTAAGAATACGTGCGTACTGCTTTTCAAATCTTTAAATACGAATGGCTTTTCCGTCATATGACGCGATGTTTGCAATGGCTTCAGTTCGCTCATAGTTTCCCTTAACTTCTTAACAAACTCTGTTTGCGATACTTGCTTAAAATCACCATCAAACACCTCTCCTGGTAAACGTATATTTACCCCATAAATTAATTCCGACGGTGTCGCTTGCAAATCTTCTTTAAATGCCGCTCTTAATCCCATTACAACAATTGGCAAGGCCCTTGTCCATTCAACACTTGATTTACACTTCAGTGCAGACTTTAGCGTGCGATGAAAACGTTCGACAAGTCCATTTGACTGTGGATGATATGCTGTAGTTCGATGCCTTTCACACCCCAAAATTTTGGCTAGCTCATCGAAAAGCTTGGATTCAAATTGTCGTCCCTGGTCTGTCGTAATCCTTTTCGGCACACCATAATGCGCTATCCAATCCTTAATTAAAGCCTCAGCCACCCATTCTGCCGTAATCTCCGCCAATGGTACCACCACCGGCCACCTTGAAAACCGGTCAATGCATGTCAGGCAATACCGCATACCATTACTATAGGGCAAAGGTCCCACGATATCAATATGAACATGCTCAAAACGTTGATCAGGAGCGTTGAAATCCTGCAACACAGTCCTGTTGTGCCGCTGGATTTTTGACTTTTGGCATGCCATGCATGTTTTCACCATTTGACTTATTTCAGTCTTCATTTTAGGCCAACAAAAACGAGAACTTATTAGTTTTATAGTTGCTTTTCTACCAGGATGAGCTAAATTGTGTAACATTTCGAACACTTGCACTCGGAAGGACTTTGTAATAAACGGTCTCGGTTTCTTTCCGGATACATCACAATACACAGAAACACCCTCTGTAATTAACTCTACCAACTTGAGCTCCAGAGATGACGCTGTACAGTTTCTTATCAACTTGTTCATCTCTTGGTCAACTCTCTGAGCTTCTGCCAACTTATCATAGTCTAGTGATCGTCTAACTCCAGCCACTACACTTTCGACTCGAGATAAAGCATCTGCGACCGTATTTTTGCTGCCTGCTATATGCTGAATATCTGTTGTCAGCTGCCCGATAAAATCTAAATGGCGTAACTGGCGTTCTGATGCTTTTTCAGATCTTTGTAAGAAAGCAAATGTAATCGGTTTATGATCCGTTAGCACAGTGCAATTCCTGCCCTCAATCATGTACCTGAAATACTTGACCGCCATATATATAGCAAGTAGCTCGCGGTCATAAGTACTATATCTTTTTTGAGTCTCTTTCAGCCTTTTGGAATAGAATCCCAGCGGTTGCATCTGTCCATCTATAAGCTGTTGCAACACTGCTCCTACTGCAACATTGCTAGCATCCACATTTAGCACCAGTTTCGCATTCGGAGCCGGGTGTGCTAGCATTGCAGCATTCGCCAGATTATTCTTACACACTTCAAATATTTTCTCAGCCTCTGCTGTCCAATCAATCAGAGATCTATCATTTTTCTTATTTCCTTTTAATAGCGCGTGCAGGATGCTATGATTCTTTGCGGCATTCGGGAGGAAACGCCTGTAAAAATTAATTGAAGCAATGAACCTTCTTAACTCTCGTACTTCCTTCGGTTTTTTAAAATTTCTTATCGCTTCTACCTTTTCAGCTATAGGTCTAATTCCATCCCCATTTATCACATGACCCAGGAAGGTAACTTCTTTCATAAAAAACACACACTTTCCCAGATTGATTCTCAGACCATGATCACTTAATCGTTTGAACACTTCTCTTAAATGTATTTCGTGTTCCTTTTCATCAGCTGATGCTATACATATATCATCAATGTACGTTACCACATAACTCAGATTCTTTAGGACATCATTCATAAACCTTTGGAAAGTTTGCGCAGCATTGCATAAACCAAAAGTCATCATGTTAAACTCATATAAGCCGAACGGGGTTATTATCGCCGTTTTAGGTCGATCCTCCTCAGCAATCGGAATTTGATTGTAGGCCTTTTCCAAGTCAATGGTTGAGAAAATTTTCTTATTGTACAATATGCGAGTAAAATCATGTATATGGGGTATTGGATACCGGTCTGGTAGTGTTATTGAATTAAGCTTCCTATAGTCACCACACGGTCTCCACTTACCATCCTTTTTCGCCACTAAATGCAACGGACTTGGCCAATTGCTGTTACTTGGTCTACAAATACCTTGTTTCGTCATAAATTCAAATTCCTTTCTCGCAATTTCAAATTTTTCAGGATTTAACCGCCGAGGTTTTGCATACACTGGCTGTCCCTTGGTAACAATTTGATGCTCTACTAGCGTAACCTTCGTGGCCACCTTATTACTAGCAGCCGGTTCCGTTATCTCTTTATAATCCCGCAGAATGTTATGTACCGGGCTAGTCGCAT